TTCTCTCTCTTTGTGTATTTTCGATTTACTACTTTCGTTATTCCCAAAATGGAAGATTAGAGAATGTTTTCGTTTTTACTATGCGCGGATGTTGCTAACATGCAACCTAGCTCCTCTCTTGAGTTTGTGATTTACTAATTTACTACTAGTGTTAATTAATGAATGATATTTTGATTTTTCCATAAATAGTTTTTTCTTCATTCACTCCTTCCAAACTTAATTCTCGTACTCAAAAGATAATGTTTTGGTTGAGGTTTAAATCCTCAAGATTTTTGAGCATGGGCAAGTGGAGCAGTGGCGACAGATACAATTAGTACTAGTTAGAAGATGATGATGTTATAGATAAAAAATCCGGTTGGAAACACTGGCGACGAATAGAAGAGAGTGTATTGAGAGTTTCAGAGATGGTGAGACAAAGAGTGTCCTACAAAACAAATATAGTAAGTGGGNCTTTAACTTGTCCGATCTTAACCACTAAAGCTCTCTCTCTATCTCTATTATCGTTTAACTACTAAAGTCATTTCTTCTCTTTTTTTTCTTTCTAATCTGTTTTTGTGGGGCAAAGACAGCAAGAAACTCATTTTCTTGATTATGGTCTTGTTTTGAAAAGACACGTCTGAAATATGTCTCCATTAGAGAGCTAAAACTTGACCGACTGTTAAAAACAGTTTTTTTATAGTTCACAAATCCATTTTTTTTTTTTAAATGAGTGAATTTTTTTTTATCTAACGTTGTTTTGGCTTTTATGAAGATCATGAAAACAAAAAGGTTTTATTATTTTGCAGTTTCCTCAAACAGCAAATGATGAGCATGACCTTGCAACTAATTAACTCTTTTGTTTCTTAATCTTTAAAAACTACTATAATTTTGTACGGACGAAACCAAGACAGGTAAAGGAAATTAAGATATTTTTGGTTGAACCAAAATCTCAATTAAATACCTTAAAAAAGGTTGTTACTTTGGTAGTTAACCAAATGTAGAAAGTAGGAAACATTTTTTCGTTTTTTTTAAATTAACATAAAATTTGGAAAGCATAATTTAGATGAGAGAATCAAATACCAAAAGCATCTGATAACCTAACCCATCAAACAAACGAGAAGCTGATTCGGCAGAAAAAGCAATGCACTTACCACTTACCAGAGTTTCAACAAAAGCCGAATTGCTTGCGCAAGCGGTATATGATCTTTGATGCTTCCACTTCGATGTTAACGCTTCTAATATAAGTTAGGGCTCTTATTCGAATACATGGTGGTACAATGTCGAATACTCGGTTTTTATTTTCACATTTGGAGAAATGTTTGACCATTGCTTTCGTCTTTAAAGATATTTGCTTGTTATCTTATTCACGCATTCCGATCACCAGTGCGCTTTATTTGAAGTGCGGCTCTCACTACATTTCCTCTTGTTATAATACCGACCTTTTTAAAGAGTGAATATAAAAAAGGATAAGCGATGCGAAAGATGGTGTATTTCAAATTAAGTGTGCGACGGGTAAAATGTAAAAAAGTCTCCCTTACCAATTTGCCATCAGAATCTACCACAGGGAGCCGGCGATATTTTGTCTCGAGCAATATTCTAGTGGGAATCAGAATAAGAAGCTTAAGTTAGAGAAGACTGAAATT